TTTTGTTAAAATATGTACTATAACCGAAATTATGAATTTATTTCATTTGACTTTTACACACTGTATATAGATTACATGTAGACGCAGCATTCATTATTTCGATATACTTTGTGCCGCTGAAATTGAAATGCTGGTAGCAATTGCTCACGCATTGTTTTGATAGTTTGTAATGATTTTGGAAAATAAATGATTCAGTAGTGTCAATAAGAATTCGATATAGTGGTAGAATACGAGAAAATTATTAAACTTGATTGGTGAAACACGCGTCGAGAGTTTGCAGTTGCTTTCATACATATGAGTATTCATATTTTCAAAGTAAAACTTCTTTACGCACCCTTGACTTAGGAAGTAAGCTGGTGAATGCATTACGAAGTGTGATCGGGCTAGGCGAACGGAAGTTGAGACGGAGATATAAGTTAGCGAAGATTGGAAGAGCGGGAGATTCACGTTTCGTATATTACTGCAGGAGCAATAGAGAGAGATGCGAGCATAAATTTACGGTTGAGTAATATTGGCAAGAGATGTCAATGTTAATTTTAATAAAACTACAAAATAAATCAGAACCACAAATGAATAATAAAAGGGTGTTTTATTTTTAGGCGATGGTCCAACCTGAAAATCTATAGAAAAAAATATATTCCCGTTGGAAAAAAAATCAAAGTCAATTACCTCTAATTGACTTTGATAAGCGAAGCCTCCTTCGCTTATTCGAAAATTCGATGTCACATATAAATAACACGGGGAACACATTTTTTGGTTTCACCTAGATTTTTCGGTACTTACAAAAAATGAGTGTGCTAATTTTGTAGGGAATTGAATTTGCTTCAAAAAAGTTCCTTTGAGCAAAAACACTCTCAAATCAATAGTTCTTGTTCCTCATTATAAGTTTAACTCCGATTATAAGATTCCATCAACTGAAATCCTCGTTCAGCAGTATCATTCACGACGCGTAAATTTTTAAAAATGTTTTAGCGTGTTTTATAATCTTTATCAGATGTCTATTGATATGGATGTGATTTTAGAAATTCATTTGAAAGTTGAAATTGCTCAATTCGTACACATTTTTAGTCGTGAAAGAATCAATCTTGACTTTTTTGATATTACTACGTTTGAAATTTGTAGTTTCACTAGCTTTTTGATTCATTGATTTGATAATTTAAATTTTAATTTCGAATAGTGATAAACAAATACGTTCTTTAGACGAATACCAGATATGAGTGCTAACTTTTTTGACGCTGCTTCTGAAATTTTCTTATTGATCGTTTTATACTTCAATTAATTCTTAAAATATTCTAAATCTTGTCGCGGAGCTTGAATTGACAAAGGCGCACATTACCATGTTTATACATACAATAATGTTAGGTATATGTTATAGATATGACGGAGTCCTTGGCTTTCTACTCTGGAAAATTGTTCCTGGAACTGAAAATTTTCCAAGCAATAAATGGCTCTCGAAAGCCATCGTCTATGGTGTGTCGGTCCAGGATCTTTGGAAGTAGTGTTTTTCGTGAAACGGGTTCCCAAATATACTAACGCAAGTTCGAGTAAAACTAGTTCATCTATATTATTAGTTCATAGTAACTGTGGATTAAAAATCATCTATACATAATGCCGTTTTTTAACAATTCATTAAATCTCTAGAATTTATTGTAAATATTATTCAATGTAAAATGAAAAGTTCCAATTTGACAAAAATGTGGTATAATTAATTATTAACAAATATTTTATTAACAAATTTAATTTTTCTACAAAAGCTTTACATCATGTCTTATAAAAAAAATTTTTGGTTAAAAAAATCGAGTTGAAATAAAAAAATTATAATTCCTGTGTTATTAACATGGGAAATCGAATTTTTGGATGAGCTAAGCCTCAAGGTAACTTGAAAAAATGTAATGAAAATATTTTTTATTTTTCATAAATTGTCGGATTTTAAAGCACACTCGCTTTTTTTCTCAACACATCATTTCAAAGTTATGAATGTGAATCTTAATTGTTTTTTATTTCTGGATTTTCTGGAAGTTCGAAACATAATTGTGCTACGTATCATAATATAAAATAGTGGAGAGTCCTGGTCTATCCAAGTTGTATACGAATCATTCTCCACCGAAATTCAAACAGATTTCATTAATTCAGTCATACATCATTTCACTTCATAAATAAGTAGTAGTGCGGATGTGAAAAGTCCCTTTTCCTGTAAATATTTAAAGGTTGGTTAGTAATGTTTGATGATACAAAAAGTATTGTGTCACCGCTAAAAGACTGCTATCAACTTTTTTTCAAAGGGAATCTCGTGATAATTCGTTCTATAGGTCTCCCAAATCTCTATCCATATAGTTCACTATACACTTCCTGACAATAAAGGAGCCTCTTTGGAAATTCTCTGAGGTAATTTCGTATACTCTCGTATAACTTACGGGGGGGGTGAAGTATGCTTTAATGCTATACGCAATCGCAGTTCATTTCAGAACCTTATGGAAAAAATATGAGGTGCTTGCAAAAAATACCCCACACACTGATCATAATGTTTAATAGGCTTCATTATTATCAGAAAGTGAATGGTGAACATTTCGAAGATTTATGATTTATGAAAATAAACTGAAGTGAGATTTGAATAAAATTAGTTTTTTGAAATTATAATAGTTCCCAATGAGAATGTTGAACTGTTAATTACTCGAGAACTGCAGGTCCGATTTCCAAAACTAAACAAATGCTGTATTGGGAATTGAATGACGAACTATCACAAGACCCCCACTTTCTTTAAAAAAAGACATGCTTTGCGACTAGTTAATGCTACCTAGACTCTTGTTTTTCTTATTAAAAAGTACTGAAAATGATGTCGAACTTTGTCTGACTTTGATTGTTCTGTTCGAAAGTTAAGAGATATGACTTTTTACGTCCGTTAAGTTTATAGTATTTCCAAGGCTTAACCCCACATTCAGATTCAGCTATATATCCATGGTGAGACAATAATGACTAAACACCCACGTTCTATTACTATGAATTCAGTCCATTGTTATATTTTCTCATCCAATTTTTTTTTCAGGTATAGCGGGACTATTCACGGTATTTTCTAGTTTCATATTCACCACAACTGTATTAAACATCCTGCGAATGAACGTAACAGACCTAAAGTAAGTGACACATGGAAACCGCCACACAATGAAATGAGCAAGTTTATTTTTAGGGATGCCTTATTCTTCTTCCTACTGTTAATTGATTTATCAAAAGCCGCTATGCTTGCTCAATTTGCTTTGAATGCTTCTAGTAAAACCGAAGTCAAGAATAACATTGCCAAAGGAATGTCTGTTCTAGGGCCGACTATTACTTTGGATACGGTTGTCGAAACGTTGGTCATAGGTGTTGGAACATTATCTGGTAAACTATTTTTAAATTCAATATTTTTCTCTACAGTTGAGGCAACAGAAAGTTACCCATGCGTCGTCAATTTATACATCCAAACGAAATGAGTGGATAAAGTAATTGAAACGAAGCTACTTCACTGAACTTTTATTGAAGAATTGCTTTCTTTCATTCATAAAATTCAATAAAAGCTAACCTCATGCTACGATTTTATGTTGGTTTCATAAAATTCTCTTCAAACTCTTTTTCAATTATTCTGTAAATACATTATATTTTATATTCAATATTGCAAGTCCGTCTGCATGGAATATAAATATTCCAGTTTGCTGAACATGCAACAAAGCCAATTCCAATTAGAAGTGAACATTTATAATTGCGATAAAAAATTTACTTGCTATGTATTGTGAAATGCCTGCAGTTTATGAGTGGTGAAAAGAACTGTGATATTTTATCAACTGTCTAATTTAGACTTCGACTTACGTTTTAATGTACCGAGTACCTATAGGCCATCATCCAGACAAGAGGTCTCGCTGATTGAACAGAACCGTTTCTGTTTCATTCCGAATTTTATTGACAACGTATTGTCATTTTTCGTTGCCCCAACTGTAAATAGAGCCGAATACAAATGGATCAGATTTTATAAACGCGATGACATGATACTTCCAAGGAGGTTTAAACAGGGTTATTTTCACGTTTCATTTCAAAAAAATTATATCGACACGTCATTTGAAGAATATTAGCGAAAACAATTTCTCAGAATAAATCAGATGCTTCAGAAAACACCCTCAAAGAAATGGTTAGGCAAAAGGGGGCGTGACGTCATCAGATATATGAAATGCGGACCCGGCGAGGAGTGGCTTTCAATGTCCTCTATTGGGAGTGGACATATTCTGTTGAAGAATGTCTTGACCATTCTAGTTGAAGTTCGAATGTTTGCCACGCGGTTCATACTATCCTTGCCTGGATCCCGTCTCTAATTGTTGTTGATACGTTTTCCATTCGAGCCTTTGCTGATCTTCGGAAGTGATTTGCTGCGTCCTTTCATAAGATGACAATTTGTTTTGTAGTACGGTTCTTCAATCTTCATCTGGTACCCCATGTGTGCCGGAGTAAGAGGTAAAGGATCTGATGGATGAGTGGAAAGTGGTGTGAGTGGACGAGAATTTACTATTGCCTCGATTTGCGTTAATAAAGAATAAAGTTCTTCAAAAGTGAGGTGAGCGTTTCCCATGACTTGTTCCATATGATATTTTATGGATTTTACGCCAGCTTCCCACAGACCTCCAAAGTGCGGAGAGTATAGCGGAATAAATTTCCATTCAATACCTTCGATTGAGAATGATTCCGTTAATTGAAGTTCGTGGGATTGAATAAACTTACCCAACTCGGCTAGTTCAGAACTGTCAGAGACGAAATTCTTTCCGTTATGAGAAGATATTTTTAGAGGTTTTCCTCTTCGCGCTACAAACCTACGAAGGGCTAAAATAAGTGAATCTTTCGTTTGGTCGGAAACTAAATCCAGATGTATTGCTGTCGTCACGAAACAAATGAATAGATTGACGTAGCATTCAGAAAGTTTTGAACCGCGACCTTTCTTATTTTTGATCATGAGTGGTCCGGCATAATCTACTCCGCAGATGTAAAATGGCGGCTGTGGTTCCAATCTCTCACTTAGTGAGTTTCCAATAATGCGTTGTACGAATATCGGAATATTTCTAAAACATTTTATAAATTGGCGTTTTTCATGCGGTGGAGCGGCCCGAGGTGGACCAGAAAGTTTCTCTAATGGAATACAACAATCGTTGTGGACCGGCATGTAACAGCCTTTTATGCTCATCATTGAACAATAATTTTGTGAAGTGGTGTTTGTGTGAGAGTATAATCGGAAACCTTTCAGAAAAGGGGTATTTGGAATTGGCTATTCGCTTCGCATAAGCCAAGAAGGACCATGCCACCAAAGCAAACATGAGACTAACTTTGCCGGCTTAACGCCAAGAATCGGAGCTCGTTTTTTGCTGTATTTCGCGGCAAATACCTTCAGTTGGTTTGGTGGCGTTTTAAGACAACCCATATGGTAGAGTCCGTCCAGAAAATTCTCCTGTAAAATTTTGTATCCAACGCATCCGAGACCTTTTCCGCTAGCCTCGAGAGCATAAGCGCACCGTTTAACTATAATCTAGGTATTGTAATAGTGTGTGGTGATGCCACTTTGGCCTTTGAGCACAGCAAGTTAACGTGGATGCCGTCATCTTGATCAACTGATCTCATATATATGCTAGCACCATAAGCACTTTGAGATGCGTCGCAAAAACCATGCATTTCTACTCGTTTCGGATTTTTGCAAAAACGTGTCTAGCAATTTATACATGATTTAAAGAAGAAAGTTCTGCTTTGAATTCATTCCAGAACAACTCAAAATTCATAGCGAGGGGCTCATCCCAGTCTAATCTTTCTAACCATTGTTTTTGCATGATGATTCGTGATGTTATTGTAACTGGGCTGAGGAGGCCAAGTGGATCGAAAATTGTGGAAATGCAAGAGAGAATTGTTCGTTTTGTGGCATTTTTGTTACCTGCCATATTTGTGATACACTGTTTGGAACCTTTGGTGTAGTAATGAATATTACTGGAGTTTCTTCCCAACACCAAATCGTTATTTTTAACACCTCGACACGTGTTTCGAATGATTCTCTTTCTGAGAAATTTACTTCTGCATCTTCAGATGAACTTTCTATCAAATTTTGAATATTTTCAAATTTGTCAAGAGCATTTTCAAGTTTCGAAAGTCTCTCCGTCACTTGGATATAGTCTAGATCGAGAATTTCGGTTTTATTGTTTATTTCATTTAAGAAAGTCGTGAATATGGTTACTTTTGATTTAATTGCTCCCTGCGCTCTTTTGTATTCTTCCAAACTCATGTTTTCTAGAAATATTTTCTAACAAATGAAATTTAGATGTTTAGTGCTTGGTAAAAATTGTTTATGTATTCTTTTGGAACTAATAAACTTATTAAAACGCAAACAGCAATAGTATTATAAAGGAATGTAGGTAGAAAGTAAAAAGTATAAAGGGAGAAAGGTTCTTACCCCAGCAAGGTTGCTTGTCCAGATGTGCAGTCGCCCAGCTGTGTTGTACTATACAGGGTGAACGCTTGAACAAAGTATTCCATAACCATGAATGAGCCATTATTTTACTTGTGTCTGTATTATTAAATATTTCCTGGACTGAACACATCCTTATTCAAACCTCAAAGATTAAATGCTTCACTTTATAACACTTCAGAGAAAAATATAAAAACATAGGCTTTCACAGCCAAGGTGGCGCTCCGGGGCGACTTTATTGATTCCAGTGGGGCATTTGCTTTTTGAGCTGTAGGAAAACCCGGAAAAATCTGCAGCACCACATCATCTGAAGATCTCGATCTGCCAGTGTCCTCTGTTTCATGAAACAAAATATAGGGTGTCTCCAGAGACTCCAGTAAATTCAAACCTCGTCGGAACACTTAGTGACACGACAATCGTCAAACTCAAACCAGTCCGTTTCGTCTTTGACCAATTATCGCGCAATTTCAAAGTCGCGTATCTCAATAACGGTGAATACTATCATTTTGAAATTTTTGCCAGTGTATTCTGGATGACAAGTACTATAATAAAATAAAAATGCACAAAATTTGATTCGACTGAACGACCCTATTTATTTATAAATCAGTCCATCAATTTCATAGTCCATCAAGTTTCTTTTTGAAAGTTTCCAGCTCCATAACAACGCGCGTCGTTCTTTTGTCCAACAGTGATGATCTTGATAACACATGTCAAAAAGACATTTAGTTTAAATAATTTTCGCGCAAAAATGGCACGTTTAACTGGTACTAAGCGTATTGAAATTTTAATGATCATAGGATAAAATCTTAGAAGAAGAAGTTGTGACAAAGTAGTGTATATTTTCAATGGATTGGACCCATTTCTAAATCAACTGTTTCAAAAACATTGCAGCGTTTTCATGAAACTGGAGGTGTCAAAAAGTGGAAGGCCAGTAAGCATTACAAATGAAGAAAATTCTTTGAATGTCTTGTTAGATGTGGTGGAAAATCCAGTAAATTCGGCACAAAATATGGCTTTGAATGATAACATGAGTCGATATTCCATTCAAATAATTTGAAAACTGCAAAAATGCCCATTCATATGAAATTCATTTGGTACAAGAATTGAGTGAAGACGATTTTGATCGTAGAATCGAGTTCTGTGGAGTTATTATGGATAAATTATATGAAATTGTCAACTTTGTCTACCACATATTGTTTTCTGACGAATCTACATTTTGTTTAAATGGGCACGTGTATCGACACAACTGTAGGTATTGGTCAGACCACAATACATATTAAATGGAGGAAATTCACCCTCAACCGCCACAAAAAGTAAATGTCTGGTGTGGCATTATTGATGAACACGTCACAGGACCCTATTTTATAAAGGGAATTTGACCTCTGAACGATATTTATTGATTTACAACGGCCTATTATCCCAGAGCTTAGACAATTATTCCCAAATAGTATCAATCCCAATTTGCCGGCAGAAAAATTTGTGTTTCAACAAGATGGGGCTCCTTCACATTTTGGACCTGTAGTACGGGCATATCTATATGAAACATTTCCTGATAAATGGATTGGACGCAGTGGAGCAATTGAATGGGTAGCTAGGTCTTCCGATATTACCCCACTTGACTTTTTTTACATAAAAAATGTAGTCTACAAAAATAGGCCGCCAAATATCGAAAATTGGCAAAAAAGAATAAGGCATGAAATTTCTACCATTCCTCCTCACATGATTTCAGATTCGATACAAAATTTTTTTCAGCGAGTTCACTACTGTCAGGAGGTTAATGGTGAACACTTTGAGCATCTTTAAAATAGAATTCCAAGAAAAATGTTTGTTGTTTATTGAAACTTGTATTCTCTCTTTTTCTCCTAGCATAACTATTATTTTCATAAAATCCCAAACATCCTAAATATTCATCAAAAAAATCATTTTTATCAACCCTGTACAATTATGCTTTTTTTATTTTCTGCTTTTTCTTTAATAAATTTGATTCTCGATATCTCGAAAATGGTTGAATTTAGGAAATGATCTGCTATTTCAATTTTGTTCAGATTTTCGAGCAGAATTGAAATATGGAATAATATATAGGGTGTTATATCAAAGAAAAACTAACTTTATGTCTTCAAGAGTTTTTGACTGATCCTATATACTCAATTTTTATTTAGTATGATAGATTTTGAAAAACCCCAAAACTTTAGTACCTTAACATTTTTCACTAGCTATATCACTTTAAAAGATAATAGACCGATTCCATACATATCAGCGACCCTGTATAATATTTGTCATGAGTTTGATTTGCAGTAGATATGTTTGTAAAAATGCTATTCCCTTTGCATAAGCGATAAATAAGATGCATTACTTCATATTGTCGTGATGTGTAGTGCATATTTTTGTAAGCCCAAATGTTAATAACAGGTCTTCACAAGTATTTGCTTTTCATAAACAGGCAGACAGAAAGCAAGCTCATAGAAGTTTCGAAATACTGAGTTATTATCAGGTTCTTTCAAAAGTTTTGTTTGTTTTTATGAGTCTACTTTTAACTGTAATTGAATCAGTGCACTTTTGCCAACGTAACACAAGTCGATTAATTTCGTCAGCATAAAAATCCCGAGCACGGATTAGATGAAGTCGACGAAGGCCATTTTTGCCTGGTCATGATGGACGAAGGTTTCACCGGGGAGAAAGTTATCGAAGTGCTTGAAAAAATGGTAGTCGGTTGGCGAGAGGTCTGGGGAGTATGGTGGGTATGGCAAAACCTGGACAGTGTTAGCAACGACTGTCACTCAGTCATATCAGTTATACAAAAGCTAATTTCATTAGGAATTTATTTAATTCATATTTGTTTCAATCAATTAATTTGAATAATTTCCAGGAGTACATCGGCTTGAAATGTTGTCATGCTTCGCTTGCTTGTCAGTATTGGTGAATTACGTTGTTTTCATGACATTTTACCCAGCTTGTTTATCATTGATATTGGAGGTAAGTAACACGCTCATTTGAAATTTTTAGTGGTAGATAATGTATGTTATTTGAATAATCATGTAGAAATACTTATGCTGTCGGGGCTTCATTACCTTATAATACCGGACAATTCATGAAAATATTAGTATTATAATAACAGGAGAGTTTATCAATTTTTTATGGCTCGCATTCTCGCAGTGGTAATATAATCTAGAATGAATCAAATTTTCACTGGCTACTCAATGTTCTTAATGATATTTCGTTGGCAAACATACCACATAGGGAAATAAGCACATTCATAATAAAGATAAGATAATTTCAACCATTGAAGGTGTTAGATATCGGATCATGTATAAAAAAAAAGGTTTTTATTGTACATTTTTTTACATGAGCTACCGACTCGTGGAAAACGGAGTTCAGTTGTTTTTTGGTTTTGGAATTAGGAATATATATATAGTTGTGAGCCGGAAGCGTTTTATTTCATTCTAATACTCAACAGAAGGTTAACAAAGTCATAACTAGTAATAAATATGCAAAAAGTAATTTTGGTAGTGATTGTCAAGAACAATCTTTCAAGAAATCGCATATCATTGTGTAGTCCATCTTTTTAGCCACAAAAAATGATCAGTTTCTAGTCGATATGTACAGTGAGTTTTTATTTGGCCACCCTGAATTCAAGCAATAACTAAATGAAATCTGATTTAATATTTACGAAACATGTGAAATTGCTGAGAAGTGTTTGCATTCTGATACGTTCATTAATTCAAAAACGGGGAAACCCCCATTTTGACAAGATTTGTTACATTAAAAAAATGTTGTGGGTATCTTTAAGACTGATTACTAAAAACAATACATTATGCACATGTGTAACATACAAATCATAACAATGAAAATGAAGTCTAAGCAATTCATACTCAAAAGAAGACTATAGGCGAAAAAATTCAACAAAAGTAAATTAATTCTAAAACTAAATACATAATTTGTAACTGAACTCTTTAAAACAATTAAAATAAAATGATTTTTACAATGACAATAATAATAATGGGCAATGATAGATGTATAACGCAGAACTCGATTCAGTACTAGCACGCCTCTCTATGGCCTGCATTTGCTCAGATGCCTTGCGGTAACCTCTCTATGGCATGGATCGATTACCGCAAGGCATTTGATACAACATAGCATGAGCTCATCTTACATTTGCTTAGATGCCTTGCGGTACCCGACAAAATAGTGATATGTATTGAACAACTGATACCACTCTGGCGAACTCGCTTTACCATAACATCATTATCCGTTGCGCTCAGAAATACTCGAGGGTATAACTGTGGCACCCCCGGAAACCGGAGGCACAAGGTCACCCATTTGTTTTATATGGATGATTTCAAACTTTATGCCTCTAGAGAGAAGGATCTCCATCAGTCCTTGAGGGTGATGGAAGAGTACACGCATTGTATCGGTATGAAATTCGGGATAGACAAATGTCAATCAATCAATCAATCAATCAATGATCCATCTCAAAAGAGGACGATGCGGAGGCTACAGAGAGGATGTGCAGCTCGTAGATGGAAGCATTCTACTCCATCTGGATGCCGAAGAGACGTATACTTACCTCGGGGTGGAATAACGCCACTCAAAGAAGTAACAGCAGTAAAGAACTCTCTCCGCGGCAAGTATCAGCATAAACTTCGACTGATCTGGTCATCAGAACTGTCGGAGAATAACAAAGTTGCTGCAACAGAAATGCTTGCCGTTCCAATCTTACTCTACTCGTTTGGAGTAGTGCAGTGGACTTGGGAGGAGCTGTATCAACTCGACGTAAAGACCCGAAAAATGATGCATCTCTATAGGAGTTTTCACCCCAAATCGTCCGTTCCACGGACTCAATGAACACTTACCCCACGGTGTGGGGAGTGGTCGTTGGTTGATGATGCTGGTTGATGATGCGCCTTCTCGAATGTATCGGAGCTTCGGGGGATAGGGCCTGACCAGCGCAAACTACGGTTAAATAATAATAGTAATAATAATGTTTATTTTCCCAAAATGATACGATATACAAATAACACGATAATACCTATATGAATCTATCTGGAAATAAACACACTACAATCTCACAAAAATAACTACCTGTGTAATATGTCGTAGTTCATGATGTCGAATTCGTGATTGTTCTCTGAAAGGTGGCAAGCACAGGTAGAATAAGTCTTCTTCAGTTCAAAACTCCTTTTGTGTTCAGAAATTCTCGTTTAGAAATTTCTAGACGTTCTTCCTTATAACACCAATTTTGTATGCTAAGATATTATCAGTCAGTAGTTCTAGTAGTCAGTATTTTTTTATTTTTTAAGATGAGTTTCCGGTAAATGTAGTATTCTATAGCTGTTGGTGAAAATGCATATTCACACTTCATTATGATATTTTCACTGAACAGTTCATACTTTTCATAAACATCTCCAAAGAAGCTATTGTATAACAAAACACTTTTACGGTATTGTAAACTGTTCAGTGGAAATATCACGATAAAATGTTGCTTGAATACTCGGTTAATGATCTGTTTGAATAGTTTTTTGCTGAAGACTTAAATAATCATGCTGTTATTTTATCCAATTTGTTTCATCAAATTCAGTTCTAAAAATGGTGATGAGCTGCGAACTTATGTTGATGAGGGTGATTAGAGTGGTTGTTGAAAGTTATGTCTATATGGGATGGTTTTTGGTAAATTGCGAAACAACGTTTGTCGTTAATTTTCTCAATTATGAGCTCTTGAAAGGTTATGGAATTGTTGATTTCTAGTTTTATTGAAAATTTTATGTTTTTGTGATTGAAATTAGTATATTGAAGAAATAAGTGCAAGTCAATGTGTTCCTGTGTGGCAAGTTATAACATTGTTACTGAATCTTGAAGATGATCACTTGTTGATCGAAACACGTGTCAAGGTGTTGAAATAACGGTTTGGTGTTGAGAAAAAACTCCAGTAATATTCTATACCAATATATAAATTTGTTTAAAATTTGATGTTGTTGAATAGTTCGTTTGAAGTTTTCTATGCAAATTTCAGCAAGAAGGATATTTATTCATTATAAGGCCTTCTTTGTTGTGATATATGGTGCTATTGTATTCAAATTGATTTTGGCCAAGACAAAAGCGAAAGGATATCCGAATGAATAACTACATGGGTTTGTATGATTTTTGAGTAGCATTTCATCTAATAGTTTATATGAATATTTCGGATGATTTTTTTAATGATATTTATCAGGAATTCAAAACTTTTATACGACAGTGCTGTTAGGAATAACACTACTGGTCTGATAGGATGATGTTTATGAAGTTTGATAAATGGAAATAGTTGTGGAGTTTGTGGATTAGACATGATGTATTTGTATCTATGTTCAGGTTTGATGAGGGTTTTGTATATTGTATAGAACTCTTTACTAAGGTTTGAAATCATAATGAACTTCATAAACAATATCAATTCATCAGACCATTACACCAACTTCTCATCTTGATTCAGTATCCAAATCTCGCATGAAATAATAATCTCCAGTTTCCAAGTACCATGTAATTCTCAAGTGTTTTTTTCCCGATGCCACATATGTATTCCCAAACATTTTTTTACAAAATGCGTACAAAGTCAGATGAAATGTTACTCAAAAAGCATATAAACACGTGTATATTTATAATAATAATTTTATTCCTTCATGTCGATCACTAACAATGAAATAGGAATCGTCATAATGAAAAATACAAACATGAATTGCTTTCATACATACACAAATGTAGAAAACATAAAGGCATCAACAATAATAAATATTAATAAAAATGTAAAAATAGGGCACATATAAAGTGAAATAAGAATTCGACATTCAAAATACTCTTTGACAGAGTAAGAACACTTTTCAAGCAAATATTCTTTGACCTTTAGTTTGAAAACGTTGATAGTTCGAATGCTTTTAATATCTGGAAAAAGGCAATTGAAGAGGTTTGATCCTGCTAGGGTGGGAGATTTCTCAAATAAAATGTTACGGTGTTGTTCCAGCCTAATTGAATTTCCACTCACTTCGTGTTGGATATGAGTGAGACTTTGAATGGGTTTCAAAATTATATTCATGCCTTTTCACAAAGATTGAACCACTGTTGGAATCGTTTCTCCATAATGAAACATCGTACGACATGACTGAGTGTATTATTGCATAATAGACATACCTCAGATATTCTACTTCTGAAACTTTTTCAGTTGTGGTAAGGCATAGAAACTGCATTCTTTTGCAAATATAGTCCGCAAGAAATTTCTTACTCAAGGCAGAATCAATATGTGACCCTAGAAATGTTGTTTCGGAAGGATATATCGTTACATCATTTATTTTTTAACATATTTGGGTTTCTCTACACATTTCCTTTCAAAAAACTGCAGAAGAATCGTTTTCTCAGCATTCACTACCAGTCGATTGCTTCTACACCAAGTAGAAAATGTTCATTTATGTAGAACTATCTAGAAATTTCAAAAGAAAATTTCTGAACACAACTGGACTTTTGAACTGAAGAGGACAAATTTCACCTACGCTTGCCACCTTTTATAGAAAAACCATGATTTTAACATGAACTACGACATATTATATACATGAAGAAAATAAGGGACCAAATGAACCTGCTGCAATCCCTGGAAATCAATAGACAACGACAGTCAAATTCCCTAATGAACCACCAACAAGAAGTTAACCCACCATTTCGATCTCATTTTGATATTTTCCTGATTAATCACTTATAGTTTAAATTTTGCCTGTGAAGCTAGAATTAATATTGTATGTCAATTAGTTTTTCTCAAAATGTATGTGTTTACCTAGAATTCTGTTACTACTGTTATATAAAATGCATTGTAGAGTAATTTAATGTACCAGTTCGACTGAGGAAGTTAATTTGCAGCGAAACGCATCTCTAGTAGACTTCATAGTTGAATTCGTTTCATTATCATTGATATTGTTATTAATTTTCATCAAGGAACGGGACAGTGTATACATATTGAAAGTTCTATTTCATGCAAAAATTATCACTGCGAAATAAATTAAATACATTTATTTTTCAGTTGTCCCGTGCAACAAGTATCTATGCTAAGAAGCAGTGTATTTTATCGAAGGCGTTTCGAGAAGAAGATCACAAATCTAACCCAGTTGTTCAAAGAGTAAAAGTGATCATGTCCGCAGGATTGATGTTGGTTCATGCACATAGGTAATTTACCGAGAAAAAAATTTGAATTTCAATGAATGAGTCTGAAAATAACCTGATTGTTGAGCAGCTACTCAATATTTACAAGCTCTTGACCTTCTTTAACTTATTTTTACTATATTGTTATTTAAAATATTTTTACAGAGATTAACGATAAAAGAATAAATATGCCGTTAAGAAAGAGGCATTCTTCCATTTTGTCACACCATTTTTTCAATTTCAGTCGCTGGCCGTTCAGAGAAGGAGATAGTGATGATGCTGGTTCCCTTATAGTTGATCAACATATGACGCTCAATCGCACAGAAGACACGGCTTTACATGGATATATTATGAAGTAAGTGGAATAATTAACAATTTTTTGATAATACGTTCATTTTAAGAAAATAGTGCATTGTGATTCAGGTACAGTAAACGAAAAGCAAGGATTACTCGCAAAGATCCTAAAGAGATATTTTAATAATTATATTACAATGAGCTGTGAATGGGGGCACACGTATCACACAGAGAGAGAGAGAGAAAGATAGAGAATATAGTTTTCACTAAGTAGTGGAAAAGTTGTTTATTGTTCAGCATATAACGTGTAGTACCTTCCTATACTGCATGTGCAACAATTTCCATCGTTATGTCCATGATTTGTTATTCTTACAGCCAACAAATAACCATGTTACCGGCTCGGGTGTTTCTGTACTTGTGGACACTTTCTCCATGGCAAATGTTCTGGTCTGACGATTGAAAAGGCAAAAAAATTTTTCAAGGGAAATAATGTGTTAGAATAAAAATGTAGCACATGCCGTCTCATATCCAGTGACGGGCCCAGAGCATCCCAAGATGAAATGTACGGATATCTTAATTCAGTTTATGACAGTATGAAATCGCAATTTCAGTACTTGCAGACTAATTAAGATGAACTGAAATATTACTTGGAGTTTTTTTCCCAATACCAAACCGTTATTTCAACACGTGTTTCGATCACCAAGTGATCATCTTCAAGAGAAATATCAAACTAAAAAACAGTGCATCACAAAATGATCTTGTTGATTGCGTAACTTTATGTTCTAATCAAAATACGGATCTTGAAGCCTACGAGGTATATGTTATGAATAAATATGACGTGGTCAGAAGAGATCTTTCGGGGGAGTGTTAATAGCAGTGCCGCGCGATCATCAAGTGAGTGCTCGCCCTTTCTGGAATAGTAATGTTGAAGACCTGTGGGTCACATTCACTGTACCTGGATAGAAAACCCCTCTTTGTTGCATTTATCTTCCACCGGATGACGAGTTTACAAAGGCGTGCTTCACAAGTAAAATTGAAAGGTGATATGTTGTGATTTCAACCTACCTACTGTTCATTGGTCACAAAAACGCTCAAATTATTTGTCGCCATCAAATGTGAACAATGAATCAAGCGCAATTATCTTTTCTCTCACGAATACTAATGATAGTATTCTAGACAATGCAATGAACATTTATCTGTTAACAACCTAGAAATAGCTGATATTTATCTGGTACTGAAAGATTTCACCCTACCACGTTCAATTTTTGAGACTTTTGTGTGTACCCCATACCTTGATAACAACTCTGTTTCGTTTTTCTCGTATCCAAAATAATGTATCGTTTTCAAAAAATGCAAACACCTAACATTACAAAATGTTCAGAACTCCCTACTCTTTGAACTGTTCACAAGTGGAAAAACGGATAGCTTCCTAAAATTTGTATTTTTTCAGGTGGGTAACACTCAGCGCTGATCATATAGTCATACTCATCCTACTTCTGGCCCTAGTAGTCAAGTTCATATTCTTCGAAAACAGGGAAGAATTCACTGAGAAAATTAGAGCTTCAACATCTGAAAGTTTGGAGAAGAATTCAAGCGAATCATTCAGTATAAACCAAAATCTGAATGATAAATTTCCTCCTGAAATACCCGTATATAAACCGTCGGAAAAATTCTTCCTTGGCAAAAGTGATATAGACGAAAAATCAGACAAATCTAGCGGTGAGTATTATGATCAGCATACGAAAATGTAAAAAAATACGTGAGGGATCTATGATAACCGTACGTATCAATAACAGTTAATAAAATACACGCTGACGATACTAAATTTTGATTCATGATACTGAAACAGTAAAATATGAAATTGATATTTTCTTCGATACTTGGATGATTCATTATGTATTGAATTCATATGATAATACAGGTTACAAGATTTGAAAATTCTTTTTTGTTCGTGAAATAATTTATTATATTTCAGTCAATAAAACTTATTTATTTGCCTATTTATTAACGGAACAAGCTCAGTTGAAAATTATTAAAAATAATGCAAAATCGGTGGAGTTAATGAAAAGTTCAATAAGTTTATCTTAGTTTCAGAAGTTGAACTAGAAGATAAAGCAATTCAAACTAGTCGATATGATTTGAACGAGCAAAATTTACTATCAGAAAATAACGAAGAGAATGTAAAAAATAGCTGCAGAACCCTAGAAGAGTGCTTGGCTATTTACAATGATTTCGACTTAGGAGCCGTTGCTCTTAATGATGAAGAAGTTATACTTCTAGTGAAGCATAAACACATTGCTACTTATCAACTCGAAAAAGCTCTAGATAATCCAGAAAGAGGCGTTAAAATCAGAAGAAAAATTGTCGGCAATGAAGCCAATTCTCTAAAGGCTTTGACTGGGCTACCTTTCAGGAACTATGACTATTCCAAGGTGAGTTTAATTTGTATTTTGGGCACTGAATTTCAACTGGAATTTCAATAGATTGAAAATTACATTTGCAAAATTATAGATGCTCAAAAGCACCAGCTTCCTGTTAATCCATATCAAACAAATCATATCAATATTATAGAAAAAATTCAGTATTTCTTCAAGAAAAAATAAATATTCTTCTTAATCAGGTAATATAAGTCATTTCTCCAGATGCGGTATACGTATAAGTTTCAATTTATTAATTTGTCCCTAGTTTTCAAACATTACATCTGCAGTTCTTCAATTTTTCCGGTCAACTATTTCTCAAAACTCCTATTTTTTGAGTTGAATTTTTTATCGATGAAATTCACATTTGTCAAATCTCCTATCGCGATTAGTAAATTTTGGCTCTACTCCTTCAGTCGCAACTTATAGATACATATAAAAGATTACAAGAGTTTTCACATTCTTCTCGCTAGACTCCTTCATCTCTTCATGAATATAGCGTCTAGTAGTATTTTTCCTATTTCATTATTTTAAATAAATTATATGTTCCATAAATTATTAGATCAACATTTACGGATATTTCTTCACCAAATTATATCATAACATTGACAGTGTCATTGCTTTTCGAGTTTGAAAGCCGTGGATTTTTGGAATTTCTTCCTGACGTTTCGCTGGCGCGAGTGGCTAGCTTCTTCAGAGGTTTAACCATCAAACTCGAAAAGCAATGACACTGAAAACCTCAGCCGTGAAAGTCTAAACCATTTTGTCATAACATTGACAGTTGAGATTATTTGAATCAGAAAGTTTTAATAATCATGAAGAAATGTTATTATTCAGAAAACTATAATGAAAAAAGTTCCTTTGAGAAGGCTGAAGATATTGTAATTTGGAAAAAAAACTTTCTATTTATGTCACGTCCCAGTCATTTCTCAGTACTCGTGATATCATAATTATTCCTAGTTTCATGAAAACTTAGGTACCGAAGAAACCTATAACAAACTGTTACCACATCAAATGAACTAGTTCAATTCATTTACAATGAGCTATACATCGGTGGAGTTGTTACTGCCATTTTCATTGAATGGTCCCATGAAATCGATACGTTGGATCCGAAATGTTTTTGAACCAAAGTTGTCTCCTCAGGTGTACTAGGACCTTTGAATGATTGGAACTTATCCTATATTGTAAATACACCCCACCGTTAGGGTGGAAAATAGCTACTCAGGCAGCTTCGATGTTAGCCTTGGAACTCCACAAGAGATCATTTTGGGCCCTCTACTATTTCTGTGTATGATTGATATGCATTCTATAACTCGATGGATATATTCGTGTATGTTGACAATAATACTCTTGTTGTATTGACAAAGACAACGGATGATCTCATACTGAAAGCAAACATGTTCCTATCTCAATTACCCACCTGTACCACCATTACCATCCTATAATAAATTTGAAAAGAATGTATATATGCAGTCCACAGGATCACCAGGGCGAAAAAGAACGAATTTCGAAATGAACAACTTACACAAGTATCCTCAGCTCAAAGGTGAATGACGATATGAGCTGAATTGATCATATTAACTATTATCTGTTCAATATTGAATAAATACTTTTTCGCGATTTTGAAACGAAGAAGCAATCAATTTCAAAAATTAACTCTACAAAGATGTGTAGTTAATTCAAAGAAGCAACTTTCAGACATAAACTGGAAAAAAAATCCCTCTCAAAACAGCTATTTTTATATGAACATTGAATTACACGAAAACTGCTTTCGAAACAAATACTTTTATATGAACGCTGAATTATATGAAAAACACTTTTCTCTATTCCGTTTATATTCCAAACATTCGAAATGGGATCCAATCAGATATCACTCACAGGATTCCTACACAATATAATTAATTAAAGAAGTAAAGTTTCACTTACCTACATGGAACACTGTCATCGTCACTGCTAGACATACGATGTTTCGCCATAAATCACTTGCTTTATCGGTTCTTCAGTAGCAAATACAGATAACATTATAAGAAAAAACACTCAATTCGTTCATAATTATGACTTTTTGTCATGGAATGGGTTGAATCCACCTATGCCATCGATGACAGTACGTAAATAACATTCATTCAGTTATTTGATTAAATCCCAGCCATAGGAATCTCATTTAAATTGAAAGGGTATATTTTTAGGAGAGATTGATTTTTGGAAAGAAAGTTTCTGGTCTTCTACTTCTCCATATTCATACAAAAAATGTGGGAATCTTCCAAAAGAAAGGAAGGTCATGTAAAGAAGCAACTTTCAGACACAAACTGTAAGAAAAAGCCCTCCGGAAATAGCTATTTTCATATAAACATTGAATCACGCGACAGAAAAATATTTTCGTGTAATTTTTCGATAAATCACCTTACAGTGCGGATATTCGTTCATATACAATATTCTACCTTAGCAACTAACTCAGATCTGGTGTATCAACACTATTATTAAAAACAATCTCAAAAATGTTCTACTAGCAAGCTATTTTTATAATATCGATGAATTCTAAGATTACTGCAGATCAAACTAAATATATCTTGTCATTTGTCATGGCTGGACGCGATTAGTTGCATTTATGACCAGACATAACATTTCTATTAGGAAACCTGAGGCGACCAGCATAAACAGAATAACAGTTTTTAATAAAACCGAAATAAGTATGTTCTTTGAGCTACTTGGCCAGCTGATGGAAAATCATAGATTTGTTCCAAAAAAATATTTATAATAGCGACCAAACGGGTATTTCAACAGTTCAAACTCGTGGAAAAATTCTGGCTACCAAAGGACAGAAGAGAGTGGGATCGATAACCAGTTGGGAGAAAGGAAAAAATATCACTTTGATGTGTACTATGAGCCCTGCAGGCGGTTACATTCCACCGATGTTTATTTTCCCTAGGAAAAGGTTGACTCCTCTGTTCAAGAAGGATGGTCCAGCAGGAGTGCTTTACAACTGCTCGGACAACGGTTGGATTAATGAGAATCTCTTTCTTGAATGGTTGGTGCACTTTAAACAGCACGCTAAGCCGTCTGCAGATGAACCCATCCTTTTATTACTAGACAACCATGCTAGTCACATTTCTCTTTCCATCTACAAATATTGCAAGTCCAATCACATTCATATGTTGTTTCTGCCACCACACACGTCATACAGATTGCAACCTCTGGACGTTTCTTTTTGAGTCCGCTCAAAATGGCCTATAAAAAAGAATGTGACTCATTTTTGAAAAGCCATCTTGCAGAAAAGATAACACCTTATGACGTAGCATCGTTGATGGAAAGCATTTAATAATGTTACGTCTATTAGTAAAGGAGAATCGGGGTTTAGAGCTACTGGAATATTTCCACTAAATCAGGAAGTATTCACATAGGAAGATTTCTTAGCTGATCTTCTTAGATACTTTCCAATCTGAGACTATTGTAATCGAAGACTGCAATGAAACTCTCGCAGCTACCAGCATGATTCCCAGCACATCAAAAGAATTTCAGTTCCGAGCACTTAAAACAAATTGATCCACCGGTTCTTGGGATGTCTGATCGAGTAGACCCACTTGTTTCTGAACCAGATATTATATCACCAGTAGCTGGCACGTCAAATCAAATAAGTGATAATTTGAATGATTTGATCAAGTTGCTAGAGAAAACACCTCTTATAAATACAAGAAAAGGCGAAAAGAAGCACCACGCTACAATTTTAACTTCAACGCCAATCGAAGGAAAGCTAATAGAGAAAAAAAAATAAGAAAATTAAAAATTCAGGGGATAAAGAAAAAGAAAAGAGATGGAAAGGTAAATGTCAGAAAAAAAAAGACTACAATACAGAAGAGGGGCCCTTAAAAGGCAAAGCGACAAGTACTAAAAGAAGCAAATGACACTTCTGTATCAGATGATGACACTGACAACATATTCCAGGACGATAAGGATGACGACCAGAAGATGCTGGAAACAGATGCCTGGTATGCAACGATTTCGAAAAGAAAAACGAGATGTGGTTCAGATGCAACTCATGTGGGCTATCGGCTCACGCAAAATGCACTGGGTGTAACTCAGCTGAACGTTATGTCTACGATACGTTTGTGTAATGGGAGTCAAAGCTGTTTTTTTAATTGTATAATATCCAAAGTTGATTGCCAGAGTGGCTGATAATTATTTCTAATGATAGTACATTAGCTATATGATGTTTAAAGGCGGTTGCAATAAATAGTTTGTTTATGATTGCACTTTTTTTCGAGTTCTCGCTTAAGTGACCTCCATTGCCCTCTTTTACCCTACAATAGATTAAATTCATTTTGAGTCGCGCCACGTTTGATGAGAAGTTAGTTTTTGTAGTACAAATATAAAAAGAATTGAGTTAATTTTGATGTATCTTATTTACAATCAATATACTCAAAAATTACTTAACCGATTTCAAAAACTCTTACACCTATAGAAAGCTACAGGTAGTAATATGGGGTAAATTATACTTTTTTAAATAATTGCAAAATTGCATACATAAAATAATTTACGCGTATTCGGGTTCGCAATTCGAACCATTCTAGGACGGTTGAAAATAGTTACACAGCTGAACGTAGATTCGCGCAAAACTTCCCCCAAGGCTCAACTATGCGACTGCTTTTGAATGTTCAACGACCGTTCCATAGAGAACCCGAATACGACTTATATATTCAAAGAACTCATCATTACTCACAAAAAAAGTTCGTGAGATTATATGTCAACTATTACAGTTTTGAGTCACAATAACCGTTTTTTTGTTTCAAATCAATCAATGAAAATACGGGTAGAATCGAAAGATGATGACATTTGTATATTATTATTCCTTATCAAATGTTCTCCAATTCTACCAATGAAAATACATGCTATGTCACGGTTCTGACTTGTTGTCGGTTGAAGGGATCTTTCAATGAAACAGCCAACTCTTCATAGGAATGTGGGGCCATCTTCAGCTCAATGTGAATTCAGCGTATTAATGCTTCTGATGACTATATGTACTATTTTGAAAAATATTTTCCAAAGGGCAATCGTATTAAAAAATACTGTTTGAATATCATTGAATAGATTAATGATGAAGAAAAAATCTCAAATAAAACGTTAAAGAATCTTTATGAATTAAAATAAATTAATCTGGCCTAGAGGCTTTTCATACAAAAACATTTCGAATTAATAAGATCTGTAAAAAATAAAATTGTTAATTCTTAAAACCCTTCTAGAACAGCTTGGAAAATATTTTCTGAGTTATCTAATAAAAATATGGACTTTCTGAAGGTTTTATTGATCAAGAGCAATGACCCTACGTTCAAATTCCTAATCGGAATAACCAGTTTATTCAACACTTACTTTGCAGAAATTCAGATAAAACTGACTTATTCTACAGATATATAGTCAATAAATCGACTATCAAAATTTTCTAAAAAACATCTGATATCCTACAAATTATTTTTTCTGAAGCCTCACACAGCATTAGAACTATTTCTCCTATTGAAAAATGAGTTAAATGGTAAATGTTTCTCGAAGTATGAGGAAGTGCCCATGTTTGTTTCGAAAAATATCTACAATAAAACCTTTGGTTTATTTGGTGAATTTATCGGTTAGCACAGGTATTAAAACAGAAAAATTAATACCGAATTATAAAAAAATTAGCCAATGAGTTAGAACATTATAGGCTAATAATAATTCCTTCTAAAATATCTAAAATTTTCGAATAAGCCTTCTTCAATTCATTTTCAGCATTCTGTATCAAGTAAGTCAAAAATTTTTGTTAAATTACATGATATTTGTGGTAGTGTATTATGAGAGGGGCCCTGCTATAGGCTTATGCTTCTTAAGGGTTACATTCTGTGTGAAGCACAACATATTTTTACCGGTAATCAACATGAATTTATCAACGGTAAATCGACCATCATGACATATATCGTTTTTGTAACCTCAGTGGGACATTCAACTGTAGACAGGGCCGTAGCGAAAAGAAAAACCAGGGAGGGAGGGAATCCAAATTTTCCCAACTTTCTCTCAACTTTTTCCCAAGTCGAAAAAGCAGGAGGGGAGGCTCCCCCCATGGCGACGACCCTGACTGTAGATCAAAATATCCTTCTAGATGAACTTAGCGATGAGCGATAGCGATAAGCGGCATTCCTTAAGCCTGGTCAGTGAATTACTTTCATTGTAGGAAACAGTGTTACCATCTCTGATATGGCCACAGCTATTGTCTCATCAAATATGGATATGCCTCAGAGATCAATACTAAACCTAATACTAATATATATTTATATATGAATGACTTGAATTCATCAATAGCTTCTTCCATTAGAATGTATGCATATCCATTACAGTATCAGATCTGTCAGATTCGGTGTTGGAGAGTAAATGTAACAAGATTTTCCGCATTTATGTTCTTTTAGGGAAGTGTAAGGTGGCCTGCAACTCTCCCATTCACATAACACCTCGTATTTTCAACTGATTGCCCATTGCCATAGTTATTCAAGAAATCGGTTCACTTTTAAATTAGACCTCGATGACATTCTCACATTTTTTATAGTTTGGACGAACTTAAGTAGTTTCAAGCTTTTATTGATGACATTGTATACCTCTAGTTTTAAAAATTGTATTACTCACGAATCCTATACATTTTTGTAATTATTTTGAAGAAGAAAATAAAGAGAATGAGAATGAATGGACAAACTATGTTTCACGATAAAATTATTATAGGTGATGGGTGCTTGTTGTGAGAATGTAATCGGATACATGCCAGTTCCAGTAGGATATGCCGGTCCCTTGTTATTGGATGGTCGCGAACTATATGTGCCAATGGCAACGACTGAAGGTTGTTTAGTTGCTAGTACCAATAGGGGATGTAGAGCTTTGAAACAGTCTGGAGTGATAAGCAGCATTGTTGGAGATGGAATGACCAGAGGACCGGTAGTTAGATTTCCTTCAATTTCTAAGGCCAGGTGAGTTTCTCTGGGTTTAACGATTATTCTAAAATATTTGGTTGAAGTTTTTATTTGTGAAAAGAGACATGCACCTATACGTGTTGTTTATGATACTATGCGTAAATTATGTCCTCTATTTTAATTCATAAATACATTGGGCTTCGTAAAGTAGCTGGATTTATTTGGTTGAGTCCGAATATTTGAGAGCTACACTAAACATTCGTAGTTTGCAGTAGAGGATCATAGATTTTGGCCTTAGCATAGCCTAAAAACCACTTTGCACTTTGCACAATAAAGAATCGTTCCACATTATAGCAATTAATTTCCTATGTGTCATTTAGCACCAACATAACAAAATGTCGAGCAAGACCTATGGTTATGTATTTATTAAATGTTGGCGTTTGATTTGTTTCAAACGTGTTTTTTCAATTTCACATATTCATATGAATAATTATCACTACATGAGAATTATTCACTCACCATTACGTTTTTTGAAGCCCAGAGCGAAGCTTGATGAAGACTCACTAGAAAATATCTACCTAACATAACATACATACATAAATAATAAGTCGGCGTTTTCTTTTTTAGTGCTGCAATGAAGTGGATGGAGTCACCTAGCAACTTTGCCCTCATGAAAGAAAAGTTTGATGCTAGTAGTAGATTTGCTAGACTTACTAGAATCCTAATACGTATAGCCGGTCGATACTTATTCATTAGGTTTGTAGCAAAAACTGGAGATGCAATGGGCATGAATATGCTATCGAAAGGGACTGAACTTTCTTTAAAGTTTGTACAACAGGAATTCCCGGATATGGAGATTATGAGTTTGAGTGGTAATTTCTGCACAGATAAAAAACCAGCAGCAGTAAACTGGTAAGAGTACTTTTTTGTTGAAGAACACAAAATAGAAAATTGTGATTTGGTAGCTCCATTTTCTTCATTCACCCATCAACAAGCCTCACCTAAGAAACTACACATATTAAATAAGTGCTCATATTCAGATATTCAGTTCATAGAAATGGGATTCTGCTAAATTTTCTCGTAATTGATATCAACTTCACAAAATAAATTAGATGTATGAAAATTTGTTTTATTAACAGAATTAATACTTCAAACACTTGTAGTTTTTGGTCCCACTGCAGAATTTTTTGTTATTAGTCATATTAAATGTAATTCCATTTTTTTTATTTGCAACAGGGTTTTCAGCCAATTTAGAACATACTGTTACAAATACCGGAACCCAATCTCCATTTCAAAATTATTTGTGATTTACAACACACCTTTCTTATATACACAACATTATGTTTCTGAAAGTGATATTTCTGGAAAATCCTAAAACAAGTATATTCACGTCCAATGAAATTGACGAGATATTCGAAACAACATCTCTCAAAATATTCAACTTTTCCCTCATGAAATTATATTTCTCATTCTAGGATTGAGGGAAGGGGTAAATCAGTAGTTTGCGAAGCAATAATTTCCGCTAAAATAGTGACGTCCATATTGAAAACGAATGTTCATGCACTAGTAGATGTCAACTACTCCAAAAATATGATCGGATCAGCAATGGCTGGGAGTATAGGAGGATTCAATGCCCATGCTGCGAATATTGTTACCGCCATATTTATTGCGACAGGTCAGGATCCGGCTCAAAACGTTGGCAGCAGTAATTGCATGACTCTAATGGAACCATGGGGAGAATCAGGAGAAGATCTTTATATGTCTTGTACGATGCCTTCCATAGAAATAGGAACAGTGGGTGGAGGTACTGTTCTTCCTGCCCAGGCAGCCTGCCTGGAAATGTTGGGAGTAAAAGGTGCTAATCATGATAATCCTGGGGAGAATGCTAATCAGCTCGCAAGAATAGTATGTGGCATGGTTCTTGCGGGAGAGCTATCTCTGATGGCTGCATTGGCAGCAGGACATCTAGTTAAAAGCCATCTGAGACATAATAGATCTACAACTGTTTTACCTGAAAATTTGAATCTCGATACTCGAATAGCAACAGAAGATAATTTCCTTCGTCCACCTTGCAAAGACGTTTTTTAGGCATTAGCAGATTTTATTTATTTAGAAATTTATTTTGAATTTAACCACTTCCTTCCTTTTATACATGAATATAAGAGGTTTTGAAAACTACTTTCATTCATAATTTTCTGAAAATTATATCAACCAACAAATTTCATTCACCAGTCATGCTAATAGTATTCCCAATACTTTCAGCTATCAAAGGATGTTAACTTTTACAACTGGAGATAACTATGTCAAAGAAATTTTCCAAATTTGTTGGCGGTGGTTTGCAGGTTTTATGTTTCGTCTACAACTGCGGTAGAGATTACCAAAGGTTATAAGTTAACAAATGAAATGTTCTAGTTGTCCTCACAGCACTAACTAAGTCGTTCACGGTTTTAGTCTCCAGTATTATTCCATAGGTGGTGGGCTTGGCTTCATTCCCGAAAAAGGGATTAACATAAAGTCAGGCTACATGCGCTGAACTGAAGTAAATTCCACTGTCGATGGGATAATTGATACCAGAGATTCCAACAATGAAGTAAGTGTTGGGAGGACAGTTTAGAGCATTTGGTTCTTCGAATCGTCGCGTTTGATGTATACCGCAATTGTATACGAAACGTCAGAGACCAAACTTCAGACCGCGGACAATCCGAAAAATAGCTTTGACACTTTCAGCTATGTCCATAATAAATATATGGGTACTTACTGAATATATGGGTAAAATGAGTTGGCAACAGTTATTGAGATTAGTTTCAATTACTATTATTATAAGTCTCAAAATTATTATGTATTACTTTACTGGTGTATGCATTATTTACAATTCTGTGATGGACCACTAAGCTTCTGACCCGTTTGTTATATGTTAATTTGTGACTTGACGTGATAAGAAATATTTAGTTTTGTGAATAAACATATTTGGAACTAGCTGGTTCTTAGTTACACCTTCACTTCCTCTTTGAAGATGATNATAGAATCATAATATTTTTTATTATATTCCATATACATTTGATCTGTGTTTTATTATTTTGTTCAAAATGGAAGGAAATACCGTTATATATATTTAAAGGAAATTTAAATTTTTATCCTTTTCTGAAAACAAAAAATTTTGGCGTCCAGCCAATATTCAATTTCAAGAACCTTGCTTCACACCTAACACAATCTGAAACTGGCAAGTCAGTCCAAAGAACACCACTCCAATCTCCACTGCACTAGCCTGATCAATCTGCAGTAATCATTACGTTATAATCGAAACTGATAATATTGTAATAGACAAAAATGATATGAATAACGTGATCATTTATTTATTTTGTCAAACCGGGGCACATCTGCGGAAATATACAATACATTTTTTTAGTGTTTTACAAGTATTTTATTATAGAAGATAGAATAACATAAAATAATCAAAGCTCTAAACGCAAATTTTTTAAATTGGCATGACTTACTAACTAGGCCCCCAGGAGTGGCGTGACTTCAAAGTCGTATTTTTGTATTTGTCGGCTGAACAATTTTTATTTTCAATATCGGGTCTTGTTTTTAGATATGTGTGTAACTCAGTACATGATTTATTTATATTTATTTTCGTAATCAGAATAACTTTCAGTACTTCGACACTTAACTGTGTTTTATCACTGGTCCATATTTTGTTCATTTGGAAAAAAACTCTTTCGACTGGTGCGTTACTACCAGGCAGACACATAACGTACTCAATAATTATGGCAAAGTTTGTTAAATGAAGGTTGTTAGTACGGAAATGCTTGAATATTTCAACACAACGGTTTTCAGTCGATACATTTTCGGCATTCCAGCCAGAGATTTTTTCATCTGTCGCATAGTTGGAAATGAATGTAAACTCATCAAAGACTTTCGTAACTTGGCTGCTACTAATAAACCCTTGCGTGATCAGTAAATCCATTACTTCCTGCACCTCTTCCCACGTAGGCACCTTTGTTAAGTTTTCCCTTTCAAACACTTCCTGTTCTGTGTTGAATTGACACCACTGCTCTAAGTATTCTTTGCTTGTTTTATAAAACTCGGCCGCCGCAGTTTTTTCATTCTGCTGGTCAACAGCAGCTTCGCTTTCTTGTAATTTTACAAGGAGATTACGGACGATGTGGGGAAGGAAAATCGTATTCTCTTTTTGTGCCAGGTTATCTCGGAAACGATTAATTACCTTGGCTGACTCTATGGCCGATTCGATTCAATTTTCAACACAGCTTCATGAAAGGTCGCTGCTTGTGCGTGCAAAAAATATAACCATAATTGTGAGCAGGGATCGTTGGGTCTGTTTAAAAAACCTGCACTATGTTGGCTTCGCTGGGGACACCGGGACAGGCTGCCTGAAACCGGGACTGTCCCGCCCAAACCGGGACGTATGGACATGTTATTCATGCACTCTTTTTAACGATTCGTTGTTCATGCGGTTGTCATAAGAAATGCGATCCTTTTGGCGGGTGATTGTCATAACTTGGCATTTTTTTAGGTTAAAATCTAACTTACATTGAACACTCCAAACCAATAAACTTTTCAAATCTTTCTGAAGGGCCGAGCAATCTCTGACTGATCTCACCTGTTTGAAAATGTTTACATCATCGGCAAAAAGCAGACATTTGGAGTGCTCGATATAATCTGGCAAGTCATTCAATAATAACAAAAATAACAAGGGCCTGAAGTTTGAACCTTGGGGTACCTCTGAAGAAACATGGAATTTGCCTGAGGTATTTCCATCATGCTTAACCACAAAATATCGATTCTGAAGATAGCTCCTAAAACGATTCATGATATTGTACGAGAGTCCAAATCAATATAACTTTTGCAGCAAAACACTATGGTCCACCCTGTTGAAGGCCTTGCTAAAATCCATGAATATTTTGTCCAGTTGAACCTTATTTTCTAAGAAGTTATTTGCTTCGTTGGTATATAGTAGCAAATTTGTGTTGACAGATCTGTTAGACATAAATAAATCCATGCTGTTGCTCAACTAAGGCACCTTCTACATAGCCGTACAATTTAGTAAGGATTATCTGTTCAAATATTTTGGAAGGAGCACACATAATAGATATCGGTCTATAATTTTTATATCACGTTTGTTTCCTGTTTTATGAACTGGTGTGCAAATTGAAGTTTTCTATTGTGCCGGAAAGTTAGCATTATTTATTATGATATTAAATATGTGGAGTAGTGGGTGACGTAACTATTCATGGCAACCCTTCACTATATATGGCGGTATACCATCTACACCTGCAAATTTTTTTGGCTTTGGTTTCTTCACTGCATCATCAAAGTCTGATTTATTTGTAGATGTTATTGAGAAGGTATCGTAAGTTACTTCCATAAGACTTTTGAAAGTTGTTTTATAATTGCTCGCGTTGGTAGAGTACACACTGGCAAAGAACTCTGCGAAATACTGTGATGTATCTTTCGGTGGAATTTCCATGTCATTGTATATAAAATTTTCATTGGTTGAGCTTTGACCTTTCTTTTTGTTAAGATAGTTCCAAAAAGTATTGATATCAGTGCTCATATTGTGTTTGATAGTTTTAATGTACTTATTATATACTTGTTTCGACTTTGATTATCTTCTCACCTCTAGATATTTTTTACCATGATATTCTGAAATATGTTTTATTTCTTTAAGTTTTTCCTTCTCCACAAATGATTTTTTAATTTCTCTATTACATCATACAGGAAATTTATTATAACTCTCATATAATTTAAATACAGGCACACAAGTAGAAAAGATGTTATCCAAAATTTTATAAAATTTTTCCTTGACTATATCAACAAAAGACTGCATCAATACCTCATTCCAGTAGGTGTCTCTAATAAGTTCTACCATGAGGTCAAAATTAGCTTTTTTAAAATTATCTTATGATTAATTGTATTACTAGCCTTTGCATCACCACTCAATAAATTTTCACGACATTCTAAAACAATTTCAAGGGAACAGAGTGATATCTGTCCTCAGACACGAAAGGGCTTTCTCCTCGTGTAACATTGAACAAATTACCTTCAGAAGAAATAACTAAGTCCAAGGTCCTTCCTTGGAAATTAATAACATTATTGTGTAAGCTGAAAGGATTGAAAGTTAAAAATCGTTCATAACAGACAATTTTGTATTATTATTATGGGCCTCCGATTTCTGGAAGATTAAAATCTCCAAATATAAAAGTTTTGTTTGACTTCGTAATTATGTTGCCTTGTACAAACTGTATGCAAGAATCAAAATCCTCTTATGACATGTCTGGAGGTAAATAGTCATGCTAGAGTGATTTTTACTTAAATCCTAAACTGAACTATAACCGCCTCAAATGCAGCACTTTGCCTTATTACTTTCAGTAATTCAGCTTTTTTATTTAACGCGAAAAGTACTCCCCTCCTCCCTTTACCTTGTTTGTTATTTCTTTGTTCCTATCTGCTCTAATTAGATTATATCTATTTAAATCCACCACTTCTTCTAATACTCCTACTCCCAACCATGTCTCCGTCACCAAAACCACATCAAATTCTTGCCCGCTGGTATTCCTAAAATATTCCTGAATTTTTGTGTTTAATCCCCTAACATTTTGGTAATAAAATGAAAGTGTTTTCATCGTATTAGTTGTTCCCAAAAATAAATACATTAAACAAACAAAAAAAGAAATAATAATGCTATTCAATATCATGCTGAAGTACATAAAGAAACATAAGAAAACATTGTTGTCATGAAAAAACATCGGAGATAAAGTAGAGTTGTTTTCCTAAACTGGTTTGGTACCATCGTTCATTATAGTTCCTGATGGTAGGTTCATTAAATCTTGCTCGTTTCTAATATTATGTATGACGTCATCTCGGGTTTTGATATATATTCACCCTCCTCGAGTCCATACATTTCTGGGGTTGAATAATTTCTTGGCATTTATGAATCGTTTATAGCTTGTTCATTCATTCTTCAGTCATTCAGTCTTCAGTCATTTTGTTTTTAATTTCTTTCCTCTTAAAATTTTTTATGGGTTCACCAATTTGGGCTCAAGCGAAGCTTCCTGATGTACAGAGACAGGCTTGCCTGGCTGTCTCTGGTGCCATTGTCACCACATCCTCAGACGCCATAAAAATCTTTCTATAAGTGCCTCAGATCCCTATCTTTATGGAGAAAAAGGCTACATGGACAACATACAATATTGTGCATATTGTCACTTACACAAAATAAGCCTATGCGGAGTGTATCAGACTACTATCTGACAATAAAAATCACAGCATTCTGGGAATAACTAGAGATTAAATACCTCCCAACTGTCAACTACGACCTGTCACAGATAGATCAAAAACACCTTCAGGTTTCTGGTGCAGGTGTTTTCAGTCGCAGACCCAGGACAAAGATATCAACCTGCCTAGAGACACATGCGACCTTTGTAAGAAACAGCATTTGCATCAATCAACATTCAAATTGGTAGTTAACTGTCAAAAAAGACTCTCCTAACTAAAAAGATTCAACAAATTTTCTTTGGTCTCGATTCTTAGCCACACTGACCGGGAAGCTGCTTGCTCCTTCACAAGTGGTATCATTGGACTAGAACCTGTCATTAGCATCACTATAGGCTTTGACAAACAAACACTCAATATCTGGACTGCAAGAAAAGTTTCAAAATTATGGCAAAAACCTTCCAGGATGTCATATTTCAAGACATTTATTTATCCTTCGAAGTATGTTACCAAACAATTGTTAGATTACAGCAGTTCAACAAGTATACTTTCAGGTCACTGCTGTCTGATTTATCATATGTAGAATCATAGACTGTCGGAAGGTGGTGTGTGCTGTCTCTGTGTAGAAAAGCATATACTCAGTGCCTGCCCCGCCAAGGACTGAGCTAGGTTTTCAGTGTTTGGCAGAGTTTCACTCCTACTGATCAATAATCCATATGATCACTTTTCAAATTATCTAATTGGATTTATTGTGTGAGCCACAATAAACCCTCGTGGATTGTAGTAGAAAGTTGAACACACTAACTCACTTTGGATCTACATACCTACCTACCTTTATGCTTATAATTTGTACAAGCATCTCAGCGATCTAATCCACATCACTATCCATTCACAAATGTAACATTTTCAATTTCTGTGTAAAATTGTTTCAGTTGAGCAAATCTCTGGTGATGTTGTGGGTACAGTGTTGTTCATTTAATCAACTTTTTTTCAATCCACAATAAACTCATTTCACAAATAACTGTGTCCTAGGTTATATAAAGGTTTGGTAGTCTTCCTAAATTACTCACCATAACCACAGTTTATTTTTTTTTTTCAAATAATTGACTTTAAAACTATAACATCTGAGTAACACTTCAAATTCATAGCTTCTATAATATTATTGATTTATAACCTCTATACATTTGGAACAGCTGATAGTTCTTTGAATAAACAGTGTATATAATCTGTGAATAACATTTATTCTTTTAAAAACACATAAAAAATTATACTTGAAGAATGATCATAGTGTTGGATCTACAACTTTTTATCGACTGCAAACAAAAATGACAGAATTTTGTAATAAATTAATTTCAACAAATCACTCAAAATGGTTATTTTAATTTGATAAAATTTTGGTTAGAAAAATAATTAAAAAAAGTTATAGATACTCAACTTACAATTACATCTTTTCATATGTCTCTTCATAAGGGCAAGTTGTGCATTTTCTATGGTATGTATCCTCTTCTTCATCATATGTCTCAGGCCCAAACTGATGAGTATGTGGACCAGCAGAAGTACGGTCATATAGACTACTACGCATGCCTTTCCTCAATTCCTTCAAATTCTTTTCATATTTCTTTGATTTGGAAATAACCCTCTTTTCTTCCCTTATTTCCCTTTCTTCTTCAATTTTTTCTGTGCTGCCCCAAACTTCCAGAGCTCTCTGCTCAACCTAAAATCATACAATAAATTCAAACATAAAATAATGAGAACCAAATCCAAATAGCTAATCATGTAAATAACAGAACTTCTTAATTCAAAATTAGATAAAACAAATCAAAATACCAGATAATTTTGTATAAACCAACAAAATTGAATGTTACTTATAAAAAAGACAGAACAGAAACATTGTATAAATGAATTATATCTGTATAAAAAATCAAAAAATATATAAAACAAATGTTTCATGCACTCCCATATTTTCTTATTTTACAAAATGCAGATTTCAATTTGTGCAGGGCTCTACAGATTGATATAGAAAAATTATTCATATCAGGGGAGTTAGATAACAAAATTCGCATTTAAATCACAAAATGATTATGTTAATTTTTCAATTTCATAATTGATGTGCCACTGAAAGTAATAATTTAACACAATGACAATTAATAACTTATTCAAATATTATAGTGAAATAATCATTTTATTATCAATTCGTGCGACAAGTAATAATTTGAAGTTTATTTTATTTTTTGAGCATGCAAGTAAAGTTTGTTTTAAAAATTCTTTCACTATTATTTATTTTTTATTTATCGCTGGACATGTTTGTTAGTCGATCGAAATACTAGTTGCAAATAGAATCGTAATTATGCTTTCATTTTCTTCCTTCAGTTATACCATTAACATGCGACCTCGGAGAATCACCATTTTATTGTTTCAATTTGATATATGATGAAACTGGCTGATCTTGTTGAAAATTAACTAACATATTCAAAAACACTTCGTGAGATTTTCACCAAACAATGTTACAAAAACGCAACAACTGTTTCGCCATACAATGACTTTTTCTGGCGTGTCTTTAAATGTTGTTTTGTAGGAAAAAAATCCAAGCAGTAACGAATTTTATTTGTAGAATAGTAAAAATAAGTAAACAAATATCTATATATTCCAATTTAAGCCTTAAAAAATTAACCCAAATATTATGAAACTATCCCTTGAATCTCTTGGCTTCATTATCTTTTCAAATGGGAAGATTCCACAGCATTAATATCACGTACACCTGTTTCTGTACAATTAATTTCTTTTGGAGAATAAAATACTCACTTGGATTCTCAAATACAATTTCATATCACCCCATCGTGAATTATGTGGATTCTTCTGTTTGATGAATTTTAGAGCAGGATCCCTTTTATCCAAATCACAATCCTTTAACAAATAAACATCCTTAGCCTCTGTTTTCGTTATCAATTTATGAGTTTCAGGATCTCTAAAATTTGAAAATTACTGGCGGACTTGTATACATGGTAGTATTTAATAAAAGAGAGAAGCTGGCTAATATAGTTTTGTATCAGTGCAATAATTGAGAAAAACAAGAAATACTTGTTAGTGCTGAACTCTATCCCATTTTTTTATGTTCTATAAAGTAGTTCATGTTTTCTGAATATTCAGAATTCAGAATACTGTCCTATTGAATCAAAGATTTTTTTTATAACTGGACTGTTCAAAATATCTACTTTAGATTCCTTACTATCTCCCATTTTGTTATAATCTGATATAAACCAATTTGCAATGCGACGTTTCGTTCACTAGATTTCATCATCAACTTATGACAGTTGTCTTGGTGCACAAAGACAACTGACGTTATGACATTTGTGATTGTGTTACCCATGAATAATTGTGATGTCAAGCAAAATCAGCTATATCCATCCATTGTTAGTCGCAATGCCGCCGGCTTAAACGAAACTACATTGCGGAATACTGCAAATCTATACACTGCATATGAAAACGAAATCGCAAGAGAGGTGCGCCATGCTCACTGCCACCTGGTCTACTGTTTTTGTAGTAGATCTTCTGTTTTGACTACTGTTCTACTGTTTGATAGTTGAAATCTACTGATGACTCAGTTCACTTTGTATAACAATTATTAAAGCACTTTTAAATAGAGGGAATTGCCATGTATGAAGTATATATCTATAAAATACATTTTCTACAGTTTTTTTTTCATATGGAGACTAGTTTTCTGACACAAAATCTACTGCTTAGCATGAAAATGAACTATCAACACTGGCTGTCGTAGTATGGCCCGACTTCGAGCTTCACAAACACAATATGAAAAAGTTTATATTACTTAGCTAACAACTCAACACAACATTCACTAATTTTGGGGAAGTATGAAGAGGAAGCATACCCCATATTGAAATATTAACAGTTTCCATTGACCATAGAAATCGTAAAATGTGTGTTTTCAATTTGTAACTATTATATAAATTGGAAAATGGATGGAAACATATTGAGCATTTTTTTTGTTCATATGAAGTATTTTCAGTAATATTGTAAAATATGAAGAATGATTGTGGTTATGTTGTTTGAGCATATCCTTCTTTCGGTCAAAACAAGTGCATAAACCGGACACTGTTCTTAGGTATAGTCATAGTAACTAGTTTTAGGTTTCATTTCAATGTAGTGTGGCATGACAAAGTTGGACAAAGTTTTTTTAATAGTTCAACTACATCAATTTAATGGTTGTTTTGTGAATTATTGATGTTTATTGAAATTAATGGAAGATCTGCCATTTTAAGAAATTCAAAATCCCTTACTTAGAACTACTATGTTTACATAGTAAATTTGGTAACATTTTGTAATAATTTTGTGATATCCCAACATGTTAAGAATATTATACTATTATACACTTGTTCATAATGGAAGATTACTTACTTGCAGGAATCACAGCATTTGTAAGTAAAATTATCAAACAACCAAGAAGTGGCAAATGGCTTAATACATGTTACACATGTAGGGCGATCTGGTTCAAAAATTGGAGCCTCAACTTGATTAACGATAAGTTTTTCCTAAAATAAAAAAATGAATGCAACTGAACTGAAAATTGAATATTTTACTCACAAAATCATCATCATCAGGAAGTTCTTCCAGAAGAAAACCTCCTCCAGTATCCTTGTACTTTATGTTGCCAATTTTGAGTGTTGTTGAATCTTTGGAACAAACATCTCTATAAAAACATGGAAAGTATATTGTTGTAAAGCGACCGATTACCTTTACCTAAATATCATTCATAAAAGGAATACTTATTTACCCATTAGAGTAAGGATGTGATACCAGTTTGCTTCTTTTGAGGATCACAGCTCTTTGTCTATTAGCTTCAATCCTTTGCTTGACTGATTTTGGAATATCCTCGGCTTCATTCATGTTGATGGAAAAAGTCTTATTTGTACTACTTGCAGTGGGTACATTTTCACTGTTCGGAATAGAACTATCGTTAGTTCCGTTAGACATTTTCTCAAGTTGAAAGAATCTTTATATTAGCAATGTGAAGTTGGCTGCAATGTTAGCTGCCAAAATCTCCGAACACTTCCGAACGTTCAGTAGCGTACGGAGTATGTTCCTTTATCATCTGACAAGGAAACAATTTTCTCTTGTCAGATAATAATAATAATAATAATAACCCGATAACCCCGGATGACGTTCGAAGAGCCCTTGTGGGTTCCAAGAANGACTCACCGCGAAAGGAATGCGATCGACGAATCGCCACGAAAAGAATCGATAAGTACCGAAACCGTTAGAGGTATCTAGAACGTTCGTTACCAATATTAAAGGTCGGGTCCTCGCTCAGAGAGGGAGTCTGTATCTAGAAAGTGAATCGTGCGTTTAAAGAAAGAATTCTAACCGTGAAGATAAATTAAGCGTTAGTTGCTAAGTGTTGTATATAAATTAGTTGTGATAGTGAAATATTGTTAAAAATAAATTTGTTTAAGACAGTTGATTTTTAAATTCGTTACAATACTAACAAAAAGACCATTAATAGCCAACGTAGGTAACAAACCAACATTTGTCACCGCAGGGAGGAAAGAGGTACTAGATATCACACTTTCTTCGGAAAAAGCATGTAACAATTTAGACAATTGGCATGTGTCAGAGGAGCCTTCATGCTCCGACCATAGACAGATTAGGTTTGACCTAGTCACCCCCCTCGAACATCAATCATTTATTGAAACCCTAGAGAGACAAACTGAAGAGGATACTTATTGTCACTCAACCAGGCTCTCGAAGGGCAGGTGATTGAAATAGAGAACGATAAAAGCCTTGAAAGGGCAGTGAAAAAAGTAAGCAAGGCAATAATTGCAGCTTACGAGGCGAACTGTCCGGAAAAAACAAGGCAACAGTTTAACAAAACAGTCTGGTGGAACAAACACTTAGAAATCCTCAGAAGGGAAGTACGGAGGCTATTTAACAAGGCTAAAATCAACCAAGACTAGGCGGAATACAAGGCTACACTCACACAGTATAATAAAGAAATTAGAAAGGCTAAGAGGCAATCGTGGAGGAAATTTTGTGAAGAGGTAATGGATACCCCCATTTGTTCGAGAACCCACAAAGTGGTAGCTAAGGAGGGTACTATAAACCAGGTAGGGTTCCTAAAAAAGGACGATGATACCTACACAACAACATTTGGGGAAAGCAAAGAAATGCTCATCAAAGCACACTTTCCGGCCGCAACAAATCTGAAAGGCCCAGTGGCAGTGCACTGTCCGCAAAGCAAGCCGAATAGGCTGAATGCCTTGGACTGGAGACTAGCTACTGAGATAACAAGGGGCCAAATAGAATTAGGTTGGCTATAGTAAATTCCAGCCATAAAAATCTCCAGGAGAGGACGGAATATATCCCATCCTACTTCAAAAGGGGCAGGAATCACTGATTCCATACTTATGTAGAATATATAAGGCTTGCATAGCCATGAGATACATACCGAATGAGTGGCAAAAAGACAGAGTCATCTACATACCCAAGATAGGGAAGGTTAACGATATGACGCCCAAGTCATACCAACCAATTAGTCTAGTGTCTTTCCTGCTCAAAATACTGGAAAGACTGATAGATAGATACATAAGAGACCCTCTCAACGAACGCCAATATGCGTACCAGCCAGGTAAGTCAACAGATCTGGCATTAGATGATCTTAACAGGCTATCCTTAGAGGATAAGGAGATAGCCATGGCAACATTCATCGACATCGAGGGTGCCTTTAATAACGCATCTACACCATCACCAAAGCTCTAGATAGAAAAGGGGTTCCAACCCTCCTGTATAAGTGGAGTAATGCCAGTCTGGAAACAAGTAATGCCAGTCACAGCTGGGGCTGGCAAGGGGTGTCCACAAGGAGGGGTATTATCGCCCCTACTGTGGGCTATCCTAGTAGACGAACTACAAATGAGGCTATGATCCAAAGGCATGCATTGTTTAGGATATGCCGATGACCTAGCGATTATCGCAAGTTGCAAATTCGCAGGAACTGTCTCGGAGCACACACAAACGGCTCTAAACGTAATAAATAAATGGTGCCAGGAGGAGGAACTAACAGTAAACCCTCAAAACTACACTAGTATTCTTTACAAAAAAGAAAGTACTTAGAGGGCTGAAGCCACCACAATCTCAAAAATGGTGGAATAAGGCGCCGGGTATGAGACAGGCCAAAGAGTTCATCAAAGAGCCATCGCCAAAATTCACGGAGTACCTACTGAGTCTGAATAGGCGATCAACTAGAGTTCTAGTCTGGCTATTGACGGGACACTGTAGACTCAATAAACACATGAACAACATCGGACTGGCAGACACAGCCCTATGCAGGATTTGCCAAGAGGATGAGGAAACCTCCGTACACATACTATGGCTATTGCGAAGGTCTGTCAAGGATTAGGTTTGCAACATTGAGGGAGGACAAACCACAACCCTCTCAATATATGGGGAACTTGAGGTTTGGCCTATGGAGTCTAGTTACAAGGACGGGCCTAGACAAGGAACTCTAGAATACATGAGGGCACACACAATAGACCTGCAAAGGTCGCAGTGTAGTGGCTGTTCAGCACAGAAGCCCCATATTAATCTAATCTAATCTGATACCAATATAATAGATTTCCGCAGTTAGAAATTTGAACATCTGATTTAGAGTTGAACTGCGTTCAAAATTTTGCGTTGTTCGACGTTTCGGCTTCGACTTTGACATTTTCAGGAAGTAGAAAAGTATGACTGCACTGAGAGATA